ATATGTTTTTTGGGACGCTGAATCCTAATTCGTTGTCGGTTCAACCCCATGACCATCAGGTCATTGTTTGTCCCTAATAATTGATCAAAAAAAGGCGAATTCGAAAATCTTTTTTGAGGTTAGGGACAAACCACGACCTGATGATCATGGTGTTGTACCGACAACGAATTCGGATTCAGCATCCCAAAAAACATATAATTACACAACTTTCACCTGCCGGATTAACTTCTTTTTTTTTTGTAAGATAGTAACGAAAACGCCAAACTAAAAAATTTCAACGGACGATATCTCCGAGAAGAAATAAGATATATGAAAAATTCAAAATGCATTTTGAAGGCGAAGAATAGTACTTTCAGATACTGTAACGAGTTTTGTAGAGAAAAATTAATTCACGTTGTAATATAACTCCGAATATAGCGAAAAACTGTGTTTTTTGCACTTTCAGATTAGAATATCTCGAAAATCTGATGTGATGGAGCAATTCCGTTGCCGGATTCGGATTCAGCGGACCGAAAACCTTCGGGAAAGTATAGTCTTGTCTCAGGGTTTTAAAAATGTCGGCCTGTGTAATTCATTATTCTCGTAAATAGAATTCGCATATACGAGAGCATTAATGAATTCACCTTTAAAATTTTCATTTTCAAAAGATCTTTCTTCTAGCGATTCTACATCAACTATTTTGCTTGTTGAAGGATTCTCTGACATTGTTATAATATATGTAATTTAAATATGATCACCGAACTGCTCTGTATCACTAGTAAACGCACACTGCTGCTTGCTCAACTGACCATTGTTCCGATGTTCGAATCATTTCGTCATTCTTAACGATCGTTTAGAATGACACAAAGGAAGTTTTTGGAGGGGGATTGCCAGAAGAGATAAAGACACAACACAACTTCAACACAACAATGGGGGGTTGTAACAGAAACAAATATTTTATATATACGATATAAGATTACGAAAAATTATCTCATACTAGTTTAACCCTATGCGGTCGGCCGATTTCGAAGAGATCGATAAACATTGATATCTGTAAGTTGATCTAAACATTTGAATCAGGCATCGGAAGGATAGTTTTCTTTCATTATCGCTAGCCTCGTTTGCCGTGCCGCACGCCAGGCGATCATGAATGCCAGCCTGGCGGCACCGACTTCTACGACGACTTGCGAATGCCGCCATAGTGGCTGCATCGACCGCAAAGGGCTAATAGCACTCCTATATATTTCATAACAATATTTTTATTCCTATTTCCATTGCAATTATTATATAAAAATTTTCTCATACACTATATATTTTATAAATAAGATTTACGGCTTTTTTGCAATTTAAATCATTAATAATATATTTAACAAACACTAATACATTTAAAAAACGCAGTTTTATTACTTATTAATGTTTCCTGTTTCATTTTTATGCTTACAGTATGAAAAAACCATATAGCAGGGATCGAACCTCAGCCGTCAGCTCGGTCCGTTACCTTCGCTGCTGCGCTACGCTGCTTTATTGAATACCCTTCTTACTAACTCGTACACTTTGTTGGCTCTTTTCTTTAGACCGTTTTTTCTTGAAAACGAAGAGGTATTGCGTCGTATGCTATTACCATGAGTTATTAGTAGTCAAGTACTATTAACTCCGTAAGTTTCGTTCCAAATCGTTTCCCGGTTGATGCGTCCTCCCTTTGTAAGATCGTTACTTAAGGTCTACAGGAGCCTACTAGAGACCTCTTGCGGAGACCCGCGAACTAGGAAAAATTATATTGCAAATTATGAACAAAATACGAAGAGAGTCACTTTATATGTATGATATTTGTAATCAGGAGGAACGTCTGCATACTCATACAGAGCGCTTTTTTGGAAAAAGGGTCTGAATAAAAATCGAATAAAAATTTTGAATGAAAGTGCATCCCGCGGTGCAGTACGAGCCTATATTTCCATTTATTACAAATTTTCAAGAACCTAAATGCAAAATCAGGCTCTATACCGACCTAGATACTAATATCAGGTGTAGTAAAAAGAAATCCATTATTTTTGCATGAAATTGAAGGCTTTAATTACCATAGTTAGAATGATCCGATTTAGGTCAAATATGCGCCGTTTTGTTGGATAACTTGTTGCCATTTTGAAGGTAATTTCATTATGCCTCTCTCATAGAAGCCCTCGTCCCTATTGGCAAAAAATTGAGACAGTCGATTTTCACAAGCCTCTCTTGAAGCGAATTTTCCACCAGCAAAATTGTTCGCCATGGACAGGAACTGATGGTAATCACTTGGTGCCAGGTCCGGACTATAAGGTGGATGCATAAGAACCTCCCAACCAAGCTCCCGGAGCTTCTGGCGAGTCACTATCGATGTGTGTGGCCTGGCGTTGTCCTGATGGAACACAATTCCTCTCTTATTGGCCAAAGCTGGCCGCTTCTGGGCGATTGCTTCCTTCAGACGGTCCAATTGTTGACAGTACAGTTCCGAGTTAAGAGTTTTGCCGTAGGGGAGCAGCTCATAGTAGATAATTCCCTGCCAATCCCACCAAACACACAGCAAAACCTTCCTGGCCGTCAATCCTGGCTTGGCCACCGTTTCCGCCGGCTCACCGCGATTCGACCACGACCGTTTTCGCTTGACGTTGTCGTAAGTGATCCACTTTTCATCACCAGTGACCAACCGCTTCAGAAATGGGTCGTTTGTTGCGATTCAGCAGCGATTCGCAGATGGAAATTCGGTCCATGAGGTTTTTTTTCGTTAACTCGTGTGGCACCCATACATCGAGCTTCTTTTTGTATCCAGCCTTAATGGTTTCAAACGGTTTTTTGTGCAATCTTTAGCTCTTGGGCAATCGAAACAGTGCTTACATGACGGTCGGACTCGACAATGTCCATGATTTTATCGATATTTTCGACAATTGGCCTTCCAGTGCGTGGTGCATCTTTGACATCGAAATTACCGGAAAGGAATCGACGAAACCAAAATTGCGCGTGATTGGCTGTTACAGTATCAGGACCATAAACACTATTCATATTTTCAGCCGCCTGGCTTGCGTTTTCGCCTTTATCGAAGAAAAATTGTAAAATATAGCGTATTTTATCTTTGTTAGTGTCCATCTTTGACGCGCGCTCAAACAAAACTGAGTCAACTAATCACAAAACTGTCAGAAAAGTTTTTTTACTACGAAATCTCATCTTTCTAACGCCATCTAGTGGAACCCGATCGGATTTATACAACGCGAGATACAGATAACTAAAGCCATCTATTGGAAAAATAATGGATTTCTTTTTACTACACCTGATATAAGGAAGATACCTATGTAAATCTGATAAGCAAATATGATGTCTGCGAGACAAATTATGCTACACGAAAAAATACACGGAAAGTGTAGCCCAGCTGCACTATGATGCAGTTTATATGACCTAAACTTCCTGCCTTGCGTTCGCGCGAGCAATGCATTAGTATTAGCGTATATATGAGCAGTGCATAAGTATTGCCGTGTGTATGAATACCTTCCAGCTTCCACTGTAAAACATAAGATATTTGCCACGTTGACGATATATGTAACCACCAAGTTGATATGGAATATTCCTTCAACTATTATCGAGGTCCCTACAGAGCCAAATTTTGCAATCCAGTCGTCCATAATTTATGAAAAATAAATGAAGCGTCCGCCATACCAAGCATCGTTGCGAGTCATTCGAAATATCATTTTACGAGATGCAATATTTCGTCTCTGACGATACGTATTATTACCAAATTGTTGCAGCATCTTCTTCGTACTATTTGGAAATCAGTACAAAGCCGGATTTTGCAATCTGGTCGTCAAAAATTTATAATATATAAATAAAGCATTCGTCGTACCAGGCGTTGGAGCGAATCAGTCAAAAATTGTATTGTAGGAGATGCAAAATTTCACCTCGTTGACGATATATTTAACCGCCAAATTGTTATAACATCTTTTTTGAACTATCCCCCAGGAAACTCACAGAGCCAGATTTTGCAGTCAAGCCGTCAAAAATTTATATTTTAATAAAGCGAGAGTCGTACGAAACATCGCAGCGAGTCCTGCGAAATACCATGTTACAAGAAAAGATATTTTGCCTCGTTGCAGTCATATATCACCACCAAATTGTTACAACATATTTCTCGATCTATTTCCGAGGTATTTACAAAGCCAGATTTCGCAATCAGGCCGTCTAACTTTTATCATAAGTAAATAAAGATGCACCAAGCATCAAAGCGGATCACATGAATACAATTTCACAAGAAGAGATATTCCGTCTCATTAACGATCAAGAGGCACACCATGCCTATTATACGCGAAACTCCGAGTTGAAACGAGGTAAGATTTTCATATCTCAGCAATGGCCGAACCGATCGAGATTTTTTTATACCCAATCGATTAGGCCTTCAAAAATAGGAAGAAAAGTGTTCTTGTGCTTTTTGTGTACGTTGTCTCTAAGTGGAGATATTTTAAGATAAATTCTGAATCACGGAAAATTTCGATTCAGTAAGAAACGTCGGACGCAAAGGAGTGGGGCAAAACGTGCACATTGCTTTCCCGATACCAGGGGCGCTACGAGAGTGCTGAAGAGCAGACAGCAGCGAATGCAAGCGAATGCGAAGCAAGTGAGCAAGCGAGGGAGAGTGAGAGAGAGGTACTTTTTGATTGTCTAGAGAGATGGCTCTTCAATCTTTTTATAACGTAGTATACATACATTAACCTATTTCTTTCCAATGTTGCGTATACGCAACACGAAGTGTTTAATTAATTACTGACGTCAGTAATTATTTTTTTTCACGAAGTGTTACATTGTGATAATAACTGCATTTTGTGAAGTTAAACTTCGTGTTGCGTATACGCAACATTGAGAAGAAATGGTGGGTTAAGTACGCAACATCGGTGCATCGTCATCAGTGGGATATACTTTATAGTGATTGATTAGGATTTTTTTTATTAAACATCAGTGATTGATTAAGAATATTATATTATATATATACATACATGAAGTACGCAACATCGGTGCATCGTCATCATCATCAGTGGGATACATTAGTGATTGATTAGGATATTTTCTGATTAAACATCAGTGATTGATTAAGAAGTAAGTATGATGATTATTAACAAAAATGATTATTAACAAAAACATGCAAGAAAGTTTACAAATTTGCGCAGAAAGAAGCTTCGAACATTCCTGCTACAGAAAATCTCAAGGACTTCACACTGCCGCGAAAAAAGAAAAAAACCATCGGTTATGGTCTATGCATTGCCAGAAAATACAAGTTAAGAAGAACTCGGGTATGTTAAATACTATCCCCTCATCTTATTTGCCTCTAATTCGTACGTTTCATTTGAATGAATAGGTGCTAATCACGTGCACAATTTTGCACCTTGCCGGCCATCCCGGCCATCAGTGTGATTATTCATGCCCATGTATATAAGCACAAAACTTCTGCGAGAAGTTTTATCAGTGCAGCAACGAATGCCAGAACAGATTTCCTGAGTGTAGGTGCAAGGCGCAATGCAATACAAAGCAATGTCCTTGTTATCTGGCTATCAGGGAATGTGATCTGGATCTTTGCCAAACATATGGTGCAGATCATTTCCAAATCAATTCTAAATCTTGAAAAAATGTCAGCGTGCAACATGGTCTTTATAACTTGAAATATACTTTATACAATTTGGAAGATCAGCAGCAAAGAATGAATTCATCTCAGAATATTGTGGCGAAATTCAGTCAAGACAAAGCTGACAGGAGGGGAAAAGTATATGATAAATATATGTGTATTAATCTTAACAATGGTAAGTAGAGATAGATATAGTGGTTAATTAAATGTTGAAAAATAATAAAAATTAAAAGTTTTTGGTAGGTTTCAGATTTTGTTGTATATGTATATATATTATATGGACTTTTACACGTATAAATGATGCATCAAGCGAATGCATACAGCTGAAATATTAGAAAGGAAATAAGCACTGCCTGATTTGTATGCCTCTCTATTTTTAATTAAATTTTACATTTTCATTTGAGCTCAATTTTTCAAACTTATAATAATCGATAAGATATTATTTAATTTTAGTGTGATGATACTTAACTACTGAGTTTATTGAGAAATAAATAAATAAATAAATAAATGCACACTCTTACAACTAAAATTTATTTCAGTAATGACTAATTATTTTCACCAGAAGATGGTAAAGTTATGAAAATAAACAAATTTACTCTGCGTGTTGTCCCAACAACTAAAGTATCAGTAGCAGGACAGTTGTATAAAGTAATAAATGCCATATTTCATCATGGATCGTGCATTGCAAGTGGTCATTACATAAGTATATTGTAAGATTTAAAAGAGATATCGTCTATATCTTTATTCCTTTCTCTTTTAATCTCTCTTCTTCTAGACCCTCCTCCTTAGTTAGAAAAAGGGGATGTTCAGGATGTAGAGGTTCCGAGCGATTAATATGAAACTCTTCTTATATTGAACAAGAATATAAGTATATATATATTTTAAAAGAACACAAATACAATTGTACCCGACACCGCAATTTATACCAAATATATCGCTTTACAAAGCTTGACGATCTACAACTTTGTCTTTCGACTCGACTCTATTTTTATTATCCGTCTCAACGTTAAATGGCAAAAAGCGCTGCTTCCGTCCGTTAGTCTCTTTTTATCTTTTCTCCATCCGCCGAATCTGAACTGTTGGGACCGGCCTTTCTCCCATGGCTCCCTCGGAATAGGCTGGTGCTGTCCTCCCTCGTCTGTATCTTACAGCTTGGCCATTCTGCTTCAGCTGCGTCCCGCGGCTGGTGCTGACCAAGCTTAAATAAGGGCGGATAACTGTGCGTCTGCTCTTCTCCGCCTACGTTGCTCGCGAGTTTCTTAATCTACGGGTTATCATACGCTTACTTCGCTCGCTCATTCGTTAACAATGAATTGCCGTCCGAAATTTTAATCCACGGCTTAATTTTATCTACTGATAAAATAGTATCTAATGGTCATGCTCGGTGATTGAAACCGGGTATATCTCGTACGACATATCTGTTATATCCTAATACTTTAGATATTCGATAAGATCCTTTATAATTTGCTTTCAGCTTTGAACTTTGTCCGGTTTTTGTACGACTGTCTCTAATTACGACTAAATCTCCTATCATGTACCGCGACGAAATTCTGTGTCGTTTATCGTAGTATTTTTTATTATACGCTTTTACAACTTCGTCGGCTTGTTGTGCAAGCTTCGTTTCGTTCGTCATTGACGTCGGTGATTTCTTTGACCCATTCACGAGTAAATCGTGCGAGTGCCGCGTCTGCGTGACTACGTTTGTCGTAACCTAGCAACGATTTGGATGGTGAACACTTAATGGATGCATGGTACGTGTTATTGATAACGTATTGCGCATGTCTTATTTCTTTTTCCCATTCTTCGGGTGTACTACTATCTTTTGTTAACACGGCTTTCAGAAAACGATTCGTACGCTCAACCATGCCATTCGCCCACGGTGATGCTACTGCTACTTTGAGATGCTTAATACGCTGTTCGTTTATGAATTCATTAAATTCGGTCGACGTAAAAGCCGTTCCTCGGTCGCTGACTAATTCGTTTGGATTTCCGAACGTACAGAAAATAGAGCGTAGATGTTTGATTACTTCTTTCGATCCGGTGGATCGAGTGGGAAAAAGCCACGTAAACCTTGTGAACGCATCTACTGCTACTAGAATATGTTTATTACCCTGCCTTGTCGATGCTAACGGCCCAAAGTGGTCAATGTGAAGGATTTCCATTAGATTTCGCGATACTGTTTCTACATGCAGTTCTCCTTCTTTATTTCGCGGTGAGTTATTCGTTATTATACAAATTATACAATTTTCTATATGATCATTATTTTTTTCCGTATCGATGGGAACCAATAATTCTGAATAATTCCCTGCACTGTCTTTTCGAGTCCGCAGTGTCCCATTTGATCATGATGGACCCTAATCACATTTACCGTCATCGTTTGTGGTATCACGAATTTTAGTCTTTCATCCTGTTTCCTATACAACAATCCGTCTACCAACGCGAATTTGGGATCATCCTCGAATTCCAACCGTCTACAAATCGCTTGAAGCTGGGGATCAGCTAGCTGCCTAAACTCCAGCTCTCTTTCTAATGGCATTTCATCTATATATCCTACATTTCGACTCAAGGCGTCCACGTGAGCCATCTTTTTACCCGGCCGGTGAGTCAATTTAAAATTGTAATTTTGCAAAGCCAATGTCCAACGTGCTATTCGCGGATTTAAGTTGGCTTTATTTACAGTGTATACCAGTGCATTACAGTCAGTGACTACGGTGAAGCTTCTCCCGTACACATAAACGTGGAACCGTTCGATCGCTCTAACCACCGTCAACATTTCAAGCTCGAAGCGGTGATACTTGGCCTCAACCTGATTAGTCGTCTTGCTGTAGAAAGCAATGGGTGCCCACACCCCGTCTTTTTGTTTTTATAATAATATCGCGCCCAGCTCCTGGATACAAGCATCGGTATGGATCTCCGTTTCCGCCGCTGGATCATACAGCCGCAGAGTTGGAAGCAATGTAAGCTCTGTTTTTAAAATATTAAAGGCTTCCCGACAATGTGGACTGAAGTCAAATACCGCGCCTTTCTTTAGTAGGTCTTGTAGAGGCCTAGCCTTTAACGCGAAATCTTTGATAAACTTTCGGAAGTACCCGGCCAATCCTAAAAACTGCTGCACCTGATGCGTTGATCGCGGTTCGCTAAACATTCTAATTGCCTCGACATGCCGTTTAATGTAATACCGTTCGCTCTCACGATATAACCCAAAAATTCGACTTCTTTGCGCAAATCAAGCACTTGTCATAGTTAAGCTCAAATTTATATTGTTTTAAAATAATCAGTACCTCTCTAATTATTTCGAAATGTTCGGCTATGTTATCCAATGCGATCAAATTATCAATATACACAATAATCTTCCCAGCGCTAATTAACGGTTTCAGGATTTGTAATAGTCTCTTTTGAAATTCGGCCGGTACTTCGCTATAGCCAAAGGGTAATTTTTTGTATTCATATTGGCCGTCTGGTGTGCCAAAAGCAAAATATTTTATGTCGCGCTCATCGATTTTTATATGATGGAAACCGTCTTTTATATCCAATAACGTAAATATGAATTTATTCGCCAGTTTTGCCAAGCAATCTTCCATTAGCGGGAATGTGTATTTTTGTTTTTCTACACGACTATTTAAAGCTCGTAGATCGACACATAATCGCATGCTACCGTTTCTCTTTTTCACCGGTACAATCCTAGCACAATAAGGCGATATACTTGGTTTAATAATGTCGCGTGCTAATAGGTTGTCAATAATATTTTTGATCTCGTCGCGTTCGACGAACGCAAACCGACGCAGGGCATACGCGTATATCGACTTATCTTTCAAGGGTACACGTATCGCGTGCCCGTCTTCGATCTCCTCGATTTCTTTGTTATTTATCGATAACAATAGATTTAGCAACCTTTCTTTTGTCTGTCTATCATAATCTATTTTGATATCGTCTAATCTATCGTTAACGGTTTTATCTAGGCCTTCCTCAATACATAAAGGCAATTGTTCGAATAAACAAACTCGCTCTACTTTTTCACTTCGTGGTCTGAAGACAAAAGAGATTCTTTCTTTATACAGAAAATCGCGTCCTAATATTATTTCTCCTTGGAAAGATTGTCTCGATAATACAAAAAGGTCGACATCATATTCTACGTTTTTTGTTGGCTCGAGTTTTAGCTGTATTTGCGCTATTCCTAAAATTGCCAACGGCTGCGCGTTTAAATTGTATAATTTCGTTCCGACCGATCTTAATATCGGTATTCTCGGCTGTATATATATTTTGTATAATTTTTCATTAATAAATGATACTGGGTTGCCTGTGTCAATTAGCGCTTTAATTTGGCATCGCTCACCCATTATAGCTGCGACCGGCACAAAGGGCTCGCTGACTCGCAGTTCCTGTTCCTGCTCCGGCGCTACCTCCTGCTCCTGCACCACGGCTACCGGTTGTCTCGGGGCATCATCTCCTGCCGCTCGACGTCCTCCTGCATAAGCTGGCGCCCTTACTGGAACAGCAGCTCCTTCCCTTCTCTTCAAGACTGGACACTCGAACTGCCGGTGCCCTTTTTCTTTACAAAAGAAGCACGTTGGCTCATTCCGACATTCCTTGTGGGGATGTCCTTTTCTATTACAATTTCGGCATTTTATCTCTTTAGATCGTGCAATATTAGATCCGATCGGCGCTCTCCTTTTTGTCTCGATCACGCCCTCCGCGATTCGTCTCATCTTGGTTAAAAAATCTTCGATCGTCTCCGACGATAACGACAAAGCTGTAGCTCTCAGCGCGCTCACCGCTATTCCGCTTATCAATAATTGTATCTTATTTTGTACCGACAATTCTGCTCGCTGCATCAGCGCTAATTTGTCCAGGGCGTATTGGTCAAACGTTTCTTTTGCCGCGTTCCATTTTCGATTCTCTATTTTATTTACAATTTTATAGAAGGGAATTTCTCGATCGAAAATTTTAAGTAACTAAATTTTAAGTCCTCTCTTACCCTTCTCCATGTTTGCAGCATCGGTCCGTACTGTGCGTCATACCATTTCCTGTTCATTTTTTCGACTTTTAATTGCTGTTCTTTAAATTGTAATCGCGTAATTGGCATGAGCTGGATCCCACTTCTGAAAAATTTTGCTGTAAGATTTAAAAGAGATATCGTCTATATCTTTATTCCTTTCTCTTTTAATAT